CGCCTGAGCAAAATAAATTCCTTGAGTCGATGTTGATGGTATATATGGTAAGTTTTGTCGGACAAACGGGCTTGCAGTTATTTCTTGGTCAAGCCGATTTTTAATTCTTTATAGACAGGACAACCTCTATAGTTGGCAGTATGGCTTCCCCCATAGCTGCTAAATTTTTTGGCAGATGGGTCTTCCTTATTTACGGGGCAGGCCTCAGTGAGATGGACATCCCCACAGGAATCGCAGACTGCCCGTAGAGTGCAATAAGTTTTCGTGTGTCCATATTCCTGTCAATTTGTGCATTGGACGGGTCTATTTCGTTTGTGTGGTTTCTCAACGGTAATCCTACGGTGCAGTAGATATTAAAGCTAGTGGATTGGGTGAACTTATTTTTTCTAAGATGCATAGAGTGCGGGTAGGGTGAAGCGGTTCACCTATGAAATTTTGACAGTGCGCTTAAATATTGTCACGTGATGCTTTCATTGCCGCAAAGTTTTCATTGATACCGCCGTAGCGCAGCGTTCAAACATAAAAGCAGTGAATTTATTGTGTTTTATGCGAACTAATTAACACAAACTCAAGGTAAAAAAAAAATATCAGACGTGTTGGTTTAATGTTGTTCTTCAAATATATGAAGTGTTTATGAAATATCTATCGGGGGTTCTTGTCATGGCAGCCTGTTTTCAAAATGACCATAGTGTGGTGAATCGGTTCACTTGTAGTGGGGTGAAGCGGTTCAGCGTTTTATGTGACACAAATCGTTCAGTTGATATTGGCCCGATCAAATTTGCTGCAGCAAAGCAGAAGTCGAATCGTGGCAGAAAGGCGATGAAGTCAGCAATCTTAACTTCCCTTTTGAGGCAGGAAAGAAAAGTGCTGAGAGAAAAAAGGGAAGCTCATCGCAAAATCCAACATAATACAGCACGCTGCAGCGTCGGCGGCCCACTTTCAAAGAAGAAGACCGAGATTTCTGCTTGCTGTGTTTGGAATTGATGACAAAAAATGAATTTCGAAAATGCAACAAAATGCTTACTACACCGGTGGAAACTGTGACTTTGACCTCGAAATTTGCTATTAATACCAAATTATTCGTAGTTTTTATATTCCCGTACTCAAAAAAGAGTTAAAGGGTATATTAGATTTGTGGTAAAAGTGGATGTGTGTAACGCAGAGAAGGAAACGTTTCCAACCCCATAAAGTATATATATTCTTGATCAGCATCAATAGCCGAGTCGATAGAGCCATGTCTGTCTGTCCGTCAGTCTGTCCGTCTTGTTGAGCGCCTGGATCTCAGAGACTATAAGAGTTAGGGTAATCAAATTTGGTTTCCAGACTCATGTGATATCACACTGCTACAAATGTATTTCAAAATTTCGCCCCGCTCCCTTCCGCCAACACAAAGAACGAAAACCTGTGGCAGGCACAATTTTAAAGATACGATAAAACTAAAATAATGCGTAGAGAATGCCCATATCTACCAGACTGCCGAATCTGAATTAGATCGGATCATAATTATAGCCAGAATGAAGAAATTCATTTTCAGTTGCTTCTCTGCCGCGTTCAGTGCGCGAGCAACCCCTAGCGGAGGAGATGTAGAATCTAAATGGTACATGTATAATCTACATGTTAGATGTAGAATATACATAATATATGTAGATGTAGATAAAAGACGTAGCAAAAAAAAGTAAAATGTAACATTTTTTTTTTGTAATTCTAAAACTCTAAAAAATCATGTGCTCAAAAATGTATATACTGACTGAGTACGGGTATAAGTAGAGTCGCGTCCCCAGAAGCGACTCACACGTTCCTTCTCGTTTTTTTTTATGTTTTTTTTCAGAGGTGGTGCTTCTATTTTTCATACAGTATTTTATATCTGGTTGAATACAACATTGCAGTTCTAAAAACTAAGAATGCAGCAATAAATCCGACCCAGACACGTTGTAGCTGCAGCTTAACGTCTGGAAGATATTAAGCTTTCAAATTAAAATTGTATTATTTTTTCGGTATATTATCCCGAATTTTAATTTAACAAACTCAGGAAAAGTAGAAAAAAAATATTTCTTGGCATACATTTTTAGTTTTAGATAGACGCATTAATAAGGCGTTGTTTAAGATATTGTTCATTAAAATGTATGGAGAGACGGTGGAGCTATAATTCGTTAACCAAACCTAAAAAAATAGACAAAAAATACTTTTGGAACGTTGCGGGCCCAACTGCCGATTGGGAACAAACCAAACGAAAAGGGGTTGTATTTTTGGTACCTGAACGTGTTCCTTTGGCATTTAATGTTTTTGACAGTTACTTTTTTTGGTTGTTTTTTAACGTATGTGATAAATTTGGTTTTCTACTGCTTGTTACTGTTCTTAAAATAATTTAAGGTTTGTGGCTGTCTTCATTTGTCATTCGAATCAGATTCTCTTATGAGAGTCCACACATAGTCGCCCAACATATTCTCATTCCAAACACCTTGATACGGTCGTTCCATAGCTTTTAATTGTTTAAACGTCCCCTCGGTTTGTCGAAAAAAAGTCCAAGTGGGAGTGCAGGAAATGGATTTTTATTGACAAGTTGGCTCCAATTCTTTCATAATTCCTTATTAGTCCGTGAACGATATTAACGTGATCACTACGTTATCACCATTAAATACGCCTTCTTTAACTTTTGCCAGCGACGGACGTGGAAAAACAGTTTTTGGGTAACTCATCGATTCACCTTTCATACACAGTGCTTTAGCCAAAGAGGGCTTTTGGTTTCCATTGTGTTACAAAACATCCTTTAAACTTTCCTCACAGCTGTCAACGCCTACCAAATCGTTCAATTGTTCCTGTGAAAGAGGCTTGCAATATTCATAATCTCCTGATTGGTCATTACTTGAATCCGTTGTTCCATGCGACGAAGACGACATCTCCTCTTTTTGCGTTTTAATGGCGGTATTTCTACTAAGGGAAGAGCAGGAAGCATAATGCCAGGTTGTTTCGGGTAACCCCATTTCATGGATCTCCCGATTCCAGTTATTTTAAATGAACAAAAGAAACATTCAGAGCCCTGAATATCTGGTTGGAGTAAAAATAACTGTTCATACCTAGGACTTTGTAAAACTAAAATTACAGGTCCCTTTTGTTTCCTTCAATCCCATTTGGGAAGTTGGACCAGCAACGTACCTTTTCGACTTTTCCTGAGTCAAATTCCTGAGTCGAAGTCAAAATTTCGGACAAAAATGCCGCAACAAAATGATAAAATTTGAATTTGAAAGCTTAATATCTTCCGGTCGTTAAGCTGCAGCTACAAAGTGGCTGGGTCGGATTTATAGCTGCATTTGTCAGTATTTTTCAGAACTGCAAAGTTCTATGCGACCAGATATAAGATATTTAAGTTATGTGTAAAATAGAAGCACTACCTCTGAAAAAAAACATTAAAAAAAAATAGTACTATACAAATTTTAAAATCACGAAATCTATCAGTAAAAGTTATTTTGGTCCACAGCGGGAAGAAAAAGTTCAATTTTGTCGAGTAGTGTTATTAAGGCCTTATTTTTTAGGGAATTCATCGCTTATTAAGGCCTTACTTTTTTTGAGAAATTCATCGCTTATTAAGGCTTTACTTTCTTATGGAAATTCATGGCTTAATAAGGCTTTACTTTTTCATCACTTATAAATCGGTTAGTGCTCGCGTACTATGTCATCGCTTATATTGCTAGGATATCCCTGTGTTAAAGTTGAAAATTTATAATAGTTTTTCTAAATGCGAAAGACCTAAATACTTGGGTTGCGTAAACTTTTACTAAAAATGCGGGATGAAAGAAGTTCTCGGTGCGCTCGATCGAATTCAATTTTAACGATTATATTCTAAATTCATTACAATTCGTTCTATGCCTTGCTAACCTACGGTGACAAAGCGGGTCGAATTCGCCTTGAGCGAAAAAGCGAACTTTTATTGCGCTCCCGCCATGCCCTTACACTAGACTTCAAAGAATTCAAAAATAATCTTAACATAAAACATTGACTAAGACATAACCATACAGTATATAGATGTGCCAGTTCATACAACGAAAGTGGCGCAGCTGAAGTTTCAGCGTACGGTCCCAGGTCTTCGGCTCTGGGATCGACCGCGTTCGGCTCATGACGTGACACGAGTCGACTGACAGCAAGCATGTATGTGTGTTCGTGTAACACTCCAAAATATATGGTTGTATGCGTGGAATAATTTTTAGTTGCCGAAGAAATAACCGTCTGGAGGTTCCAGGTTGCGTAAATTTGTGTGTGTCACGTATTCCTACATACTGTGCTAGTATTGGTTATACGTTTTTCTGTTCACATTTTGCGTCGATTTTATCTTTTCAGTTCACATACTCTTAACCTTATGATTTTTGAGTATTATGACACTTTTTGACGAAGCTTGTCCCATGATATCAGAAAACCTGTAATTTTGTATAACTTTTATATGCTAATATACTTTTAAACTAAAACTAAAATATTATACAGCTGTGGTCATAAAAATAGCACAAACCAAAACAGAATATATCGATCGATCATTTGGACAATATTTTACATACGATTATAAAAATTTTGATCACAATCGATTAGTGCACTCTTCCACATGATATACAGGCAAAAAATTTATCGTTATCATTTTTCTCTTTTGATTATGCTTAATTTTCGTTCGTGTGTACCTTTTTTGCATGGTCACAGAAATAGCACATTTTGATGAAGCGGCAGCTTATTTCGACTAAAAAGTTGTTTTCACAGAATTCTTTGTTTGATTTTCAATATTTCGGTAACGAATTGATATAATTTATTGAAAACGTGCTAAAATGGGTCGTGGAAGGTAGAGCTGCAAAAACATCGAGCCACTATCGATAGTATCGATGGCGACTTCACTGATTCGACTATCGAGGTTTTTTCCCCGATAGTTCGATAGTCGTAAAAATGTTTACCATATCTTGCTGCACAGGATAAAGGTAAACATTGTGCAAACAAATAATTTATTTTATTTAATCTTTATTTGTTCTAAGAGTGTTGTTGGAGTTTTATGTGTTGGTGTTGATGGTGACGGGATGAACAAGTTTTTATCAGGTTTAAGCAAAGAGGGTAAGTAATATACTATTATGAATGTCGTTTGATATCACTAGTCAACACGATTTTTCCTCAAGGAACAACACAAACTTTTTCTTGAAGATTTGGCACCGTCAACACCATCACCGAAAATCAACAAACCGCTTTTTGAGTTTCTGGAAAGAAGTAAAGCTGAAAAAGTACGAAGTAACCGAAACCCAACAAAAAATGCTACGCTCATTTTAAGAGAATATTTTGATACAAGAAATATAGACTCAAGCTCTGATGCCTTGGAATTTTGGAAGATGGTATTATTAAAGTTTTGTATTTTTGGTCAATTATAAAACTATTTTATTTTCAGCGTGATACTAGCGACATAACTTTTCAATTCTTGGCCAAAAGTTATCTGTGCATTCCAGCAACATCCACAGAAAGCGAACGTATGTTTAGTAAGGCTGGATATATTTAAAGTGAGAAACGCAGCGCTTTAGATGCAAAGCATGTCGACATGCTCACTTTTCTAAATAGAAACGAATGGATCTCCAATATATAGTTTAAGCCAGATATTGATTTTTTTTAAGCAAAACATATGAAATATGTTTTTTTGTTTTATTTTTTTTATTTTTATGTTTATGGATCTCATTAATTTTTATTTTTTTTGGTACAAAATATATAATATAATATAATTGTCTTTTTTCATTTCTTAAATCCCGATATATCGTTAATATCGAGGTTTTTTTTTAAAACATCGAAAAACAGGTACGCAAACATCGATGTTTTTGCAACTCTAGTGGAAGGCATTGCTCAGTTGAAAAAGGGAAGATTATATTCACACTAAGTGAATCAGGAACAAAACGGTCTGAAATAGCCGAAATAATGAAATACTCCAGAAAGATGGTATACATTGCACTTGAATTAGTGAAGTTAAGCCCAACTTATTTGAATGATACAAAAAATCGTAAGAAAAAGCCAAGAAAAATGATTCTATGACGGATAGGCTTATAGTGCGGAAGAGCAAAGCGGACCCTCTCCTAAATGCTCTCGAGAGATTATGAAGGAAATTAATGATGAATGTGGTGCGGATGTGTCAAGGAGACTAGTGGCTAGAAGACTGAACGAAGCATCGCTCTTTGGACGCATCAGCAGGAAGAAGCCATTCCTGTCAAAACGAAACATCAAACAAAGGTTGAGTTTCGTACGGACCCTCCGGGATAAGAGTCTGAATTATTGAAAAAATATGCTATGGAGCGATGAAACTAAGATAAATAAAGTAGGATCCGATGGCAAAACCTTTCGTCGTACAGAAGGCCAAGCTCTTAACCCCAGGTACATAATGAAGACCGTGAAGCACGGTGGCGGATGCATTATGTGTTGGGGTGCATTTTCCTGGCATGGTGTGGGTCCGCTCTACCGATTCAATGGCATAATGGATCGTTTCATGTATGCTGATATTCTCAAAAATCAAATGAAACCATTTACATTTGAAAATATGCCTGTGGAATGGATATTTCAACACGATAACGACCCAAAGCACATATCTTGCGTCGTTAAAAAGTGGTTGAAGGACGAATCCATCGAAGTTCTGGAGTGGCCGATTCAAAGCCCTGACCTAAATCCAATAGAACATCTATGGAATGATGTTAAGGTCATGATATCCAGAAAATAAATTTGTCAATCTTGAAGATTTGTGGAAAGGTGTCAAAGAAGCTTGGAACTCCATTCCGAAGGAAAGATGTCAGAAGCTTGTAGAGAGTATGGGACTTAGATGTAACGCCGCTAATGAAAATCGTGGATATTCAACTAGATATTAAATGTGTCAAACAATTATAGCTTTTGAGCTTATTTTCTATGAATTACACTACTTAGCAAAATTGAACTTTTTTTAGGGTGTGGTCGTTTTGGCCAAACGGCTGCAAGTAGACCGTTTATCCATAGATTTTAATGAACAATACCTTAAACGACGCTTAATTAATGCGTCTATCTAAAGCTAAAAATGTTGGCCAAGAATTTTTCGACTTTTCTCGAGTTTTTATAGTCGAAATTTTGAAAAAAAAATATCGCAGAAAATTAAGAAATTTGAATTTGAAAGCTTAATATCTTCAAGGCGTAAAGCTGCAGATACAAAGATACAGTGTCTGGGTGGGATTTATAGCTGCATTCGTCAGCTTTTCAGAACTGCAAAGTTCTATGCAACCAGATATAAGATACTTAAGTTATGTGTAGTGCTTCTCTACCTCTGAAAAAAAAGATGAAGAAAAATACCAGATTTAAAAAATTCTTAAAAAAACGAGAAGGAACGTGTGAGTCGTTTCTGGGGACACGACTCTACTTATACCCGTACTCAGTCAGTATATACATTTTTGAGCATAATTTTTTAGAATTTTAGAATTAAAAAAAAAATTTTACATTTTAAATTTTTTTGCTACATTTGTTATCTACATCTCATCTACAATGTCTATTCTACATCTTACATGTAGATTGTACATGTACCATTTAGATTCTACATCTCCTCCGCTAGGGGTTGCTCGCGCACTGAACGCGGCAGAGTGTGCGAGCGAGAAGGAAAATGAGTTGCGTTGTTTGGAACGGGTGGGGGAGGGGAAGCAACTGAAAATGAATTTCTTCATTCTGGCTATAATTATGATCCGATCTAATTCAGATTCGGCAATCTGGTAGATATGGGCATTCTCTACGCTACTGCGTTTTTAGTTTTATCGTATCTTTAAAACTGTGCCTGCCACAGATTTTCGTCCTTTGTGTGGGCGGAAGGGGGCGGGGCGAAATTTTGAAATACACTTGTAGCAGTGTGATATCACATGAGTCTGGAAACCAAATTTGGTTGCCCTAGCTCTTATAGTCTCTGAGATCCAGGCGTCAAACAAGACGGACAGACGGACAGACAGACATGGCTCTATCGACTCGGCTATTGATGCTGATCAAGAATATATATACTTTATGGGGTCGGAAACGTTTCCTTCTCTGCGTTACACACATCCACTTTTACCACAAATCTAATATACCCCTTAACTCTTTTTTGAGTACGGGTATAAAAATTAAACCTTAAAAAAAATAACGTACCACAAAAATTTTTCAGTCCCGAAATCTATTAAAAAAAGTAATTTTGAGCCACAGCCTAATTGTTGTGTTGACTAGTGTTATTGGCAACATTTTGAAATTGACCTATATCTCTGACCACCCATATTCCGTTATATCTTCGTTTTTTAATTTTTATCTCTTTTGTTTCAAAACATTTATAAATTTTTCTTTACGAATTAATTAGTTAATAGGTTAAGCTATGAAGAGCCAAATAAGTTTTATTTTCAAAGACTTTTTTTTAATTAATAAAAGCATTCCATAAATTGAATATTTTTTTGTGCTATTTATATGACTACGGTTGTATGTCATAATTGACTTCACGGTCGAAGAATTGTTCAACAGGGTATTCATAGTGCGATGTGCAACCTTTTTTATTCCTTCTTAACGAATAAGGAGTCGAGATGTCGACAAATGATTTAAATTTGATGCGCGAGTATTACACTAAAATCAGCATAGACTAATTTCGTACCTAACTATTTGTCCTTATATATCATAATCATATATGATATAAATATATGTATATTATTTTTGCAACGCAAATCAATTTTGTATTTGTGTTAAATAATATTAATGTATATTGTAATATATATATGTAATAATATATATGGGACAAATCTGCTTTACGGAAGTTACATTCGTACGCAAATTTACTTGTTCAAATTGACACAGCTGGCGTTCACATTGGTATATTTTCATAAAATTTTTACGAAATGCAAAGAACTGCATTTTATGAAAATGTTAACGCCAGCTGTGTCAATTTGAACAAGTAAATTTGCGTACGAATGTAACTTCCGTAAAGCAGATGATCTTTTAAACTTATATTTAAATAAGGTTAACTGTTCTTGAAAAAAATGATGCTCGCGTAAAGTTCCGTTACGGACGTTACAAAAAATGGAAGTCGACTTTGAGGCAGCATGCATTCGCGCATTTTTTACCGAATTTCGCAAAATAAAAAAAAAAATTCACATACAACAAATTAAGTGGTATATAAGACAATATTAATCCACCAAAGAACATAAGCATAAGTAGTCCCGTTGAAAAGAAATCGTATTTTTTGTCTGTTACTGACATTACGTTACGGACGTTACACTTTTTCCATCAAGTCAAATTTTGTAAATAAAAAATATTAATGTATTTAAACATCTTTTTAACCTTGTTATTATTTATTTATTACCTACAAAAAAAGTTTACAATATTTCCTTACTCTTATATTAGTTTATATATATTTTATTTTAACATGGTATACTTTATAGATCCAGCTGTTCGAGCTACTTTTCAAGAATTGTCATTGGAAAAGCCAGAAAAATAATGATTTGAATTAATAGATGGAATACTTTTTAAATTTATCCATGTTTTTGATATTTTGTCAGATGTAGTTTTCACATAATTTTTGCCAAAGTAAATTAGGGAAGCATCAGTAATATATTTTTTTGCTAATTTGTGAAAATCTAGAGCATTTTTTAAAATAAGATTTCGGGCTTTTACTAGTTGCTAAACTTTTCGCTTAACAACTGTGCCAACACCGTCCACCGCTCCTTTTCCATGAGAAGTAGCGAAAAAATTCCAATCGAAACAGCTCACATCAAATTCTTTTACGAATTGTGGAATGCTTCTCAAAATGTACTTATTTTTAAATTGACTTCCACAGCCATCAGAAAATATTTGCATTCTGTTAAAGGAATGAAGCTCTTTGATTTTTTAAATTAATAATTTAATAAAGTAGTAAACAGAATTTTTATTGTGCGACAGCTTATCACATACAAAGCAATAGGACTAGGCGCAATTGTTGAACCAGTAGCTGAAATGAGCAGATTGAACCTAATTTTAAATTCTGTAATTTTCTGCAATATCAACTTGCAACATGAGATCATTAGGTTGTATTTGCATTTTTAGGGCATTAAAATAGCTTTGCTGCGAACGTTTAATGTATGAATGCAGCTTAAAGGCTGGAAGTTTTGCGTTAAGCTCATACATTAATTCTTTTACCGATCCTTCGGTGTTGCATAGTACCACCCTGTTGTTTACCATTCTCCAATGCTTCAAAGCGGCAGTTTTGTTCATGCGATTAACATACAGAAATGGTACAATATCTACAATGTTAATCACACATTTTTCACACTCGCTGGTCATACAGATTTCACTGTCAACATTACAGCAAGTTTCCTTTAAAAACTTATCAAGGTTTGATGGAAACGTTGGAGCTTTCTTAACGAAACTTTCTAATAAGAGCGCTATGTTTGCGTGATATTGACACACGCACATTTAATGAGGTATTTTTTCAGTCAGCTCAACTTATAT